GAAGTGGCATCAACCCCTGGCGGTGCCAAACAGCTACATTAGGTTGAGGCGTCACCCCAAAACAGCAGCACTCGCCTCTGTAATGCTCTGGCTTCTGGAGGGAGCCAGTGGTGCCGCAGCTAGCTGCTGCTGCTGTGATTTAAGCCCCTGCTATGATTATTCTACATTCACCAGCTGTCGTTTATCTGTCATTTGGTGATGGGCAAGAAACGGCTTTTTAAACCCTTTTCTCTCCCCCCCTTTTTAAAACCTCAAACAGCTGCCTCCTATTGCCAAAAAGGCATAAGTTTGATGAGAGGGATGAAAAATCACTTTGAGTGAACCCTTTCTCATCCAAGTAGGCATGTGCTCCATTGTCAGAATGAAATTATTGATCACCGTTGCTTTAAGTCACCAGCTGAAGCTGAGCTACCCTGAAGAGATCATTATGGTTATTTTGTCGAAGCTATGAGAGCTCCTTCAAGAGCCACAGTACGATCATGTCTTAAAAAAGTGCATCGCCCCTTTAACATTGAGCAGATTCCATGGAAGGCAAAGAAAGAAAATATGGTGATAAAATCCTTCAAATAAAAGAAATAAACCTCTCATTTAATATTTTCTTCTTTACTACACCAGTATTCTTCCACATGTCCCTCACAAACTGTGCGGGTTGTTTACATCAGGGTGTGATGCAGCATTTGAAGTGATTTTTATCCTGATGAAGTGAACACAGAGTCTGTGCGTCTTATGAGTCAGATAAAGGTGTTTTGAGACCCCATCAACTGAGAACATAACAAGTCACGAGTGCTGTGATACTTCACCTTCTGTAAGATCAATGATGATGACCTCAGCAATCATATGAGTCACTTCACATCAGAACCGACGTGAGCTGGGTGTCAGCAAAGCCCTTAGTTTTCCTCCTGTGAGTTTCACACTTGTTCTCAGTTCTTCTGAAGTACATATGTCCCCTTGTACTTATATTTTAAATTCCTTTTAAAATGTTTCTATAGGTCTCTTTTTCTCATTTTGCAGTCACACATTGTAGAGAGATACTTTAGAAAATATATAGATTATGATTCTTTAAGGGCTGTTTCTTTTTCATTTGTATAAAATAAAATAAAACACACATTTTAAATGTCTCTATATAAACCTCATCACACATGCAGGTATGTTCAAAATCCAACAATCTGGAAACTCACCAGCCACTCTATTAGGGACTCTTTAGCACTGGGTTTGACAGTGCTAAAGAGTCCCTAATAGAGTGGCTGGTGAGTTTCCAGATTCTTCCTGTTTTCCTTCCCACTTTCACCAAGGGATTGGTCATATGGGGTTGTCTGATTGTTGGGGTTAGTGTCCATATTATTGTAGAGTGTTACATTGCAATTAGAGCAGGGCGATATGGCCAAAAATATTTATCACGATATATATTTGAAAATTTGCGATAACGATATAACTGACGATATAATTGATGCGAGACAAAATACAACTCCACAACATTACTAGCGCAAAAAGACAACCTATCATTTATTTTCACTTAAACAAGAAGCTGGTTTTTATGTACATTAAAGCTTTATAAAAATGTAACAGTGCAAATGCAAATTCCTTGCTGAAAGTTTAACCAAAAGGCATTTCCAGTAGAAATGGGCTGACATATCCTGAGCATAACCATGTATAATATCCACTGAAGTTAAAAAGAGGTGCTTTGCAACATTAAACTGCAGTGTGCAGTACGCATTTTTCGGACCATAAAATGCACGGGATTATAAGGCACATTAAGCGAAACAAAGCAGTCAGATAAATCAAACTTTATTAAACTCATTCTTCTTGCTTCCTCCACTTCTGTACCATTGATTCATTAATGTTGAATTCTCTGGCAGCTGCTCTATTCCCATGTTGTTGCAGTATATTAATGACTAACCTCGCATTGTGGATGGATTATCTCAGTTGTTCTCCTGACTGAAGTTTGGTCCGTTTACAGCATCCTGCCATGCGATTGCATTTGTCTCTAACCATGAGGAACCTTCACGTTAACTTTTATAAGTGGAAAAGTGTTAGTGTTCGTCCTCCAGCTTCACTGTTTATGTTATGCTAACATAGCTGTGCCGCTAGCGATCACGTAGCACATCATTATATACCACCTAGCCCAACTTCAGTAACCCTACAAACGTCACTGCTGTTTAGTTTCCTGTCTTCATTTATGTTGGAAGTGATAGCAGAGCTGTACGTTTGATTTTTTTCAGAAATCTCTCAGTCAGAACATGCTATAGCATGCTTGGGTAACTAGCAAAACTAGCGAGCTAACTTCCGCTAGCTTCCTGCTAACTTCTAACTCCGTTAAATGTAATACATTTTGTTTTCATGGATGCCTGGAAGTTAAACTTCATAGTTACACCTGGTAAAGCAGCAATGCTGATCGTTTTATTAAAGATGAAAGAATTTAGACAGTTTTTAAGTCTCAGTGATGCTGCAGTGTTCGTTTGACCTGAAGCTTACGGAGTTTAGGACCCAGATTACTCCCAGATTTAAGGGCATCTTAGTCCGACGGCCGCTTGCATGTTCTGCAAAAAAATGTGCTTTGTCGTGTATCTGACGGACAAACACCAAAGCAGTTCCACATCACTGAAGTTGCACCATTTTTACAAACCAATTCTGGTTCATCTGTTTCACTCAACAATCGGCCATGTGCGTACGAAAACAAAGGCACTGCGCATGCGCGTTTTACTCATCCCGATATTTCATTTTCCTATCGTTGCCTAACATTATACCGGTATTACCGTGAACGTTATAATATGGCCCAGCCCTAATTGCAATATAAAGAACCTTGAGATGACTGCTATTGTAATTTGGGGATCATTAAATAAATCTGACTTGAATTGATTTGGTCACTCTAATCTGACATCTGGCATCAACAAGGTATTTTCTCCCAGAGTTTCTGAAATGCTGTGAAATACTGAACGTAAACCTGTGTGGTACCAACAGCATTCAAAGTCACTTAAATTGTTTTTCCTTCCCCATTTTGATGCTCAGTTTGAACTTCATCAGGTGGGCTTGACAATGTCTACGTTGGCAGACAGCCACTGTGGCGCCATGACCAGGTTCTTATGGCAGTGGCTAGACTTATCTATTAATAGCAGGAAACAGCATCATGATTCAAAGAAGACAATATCAACTGTCAAAGCCTCAGAGAAACCAACAAACAAATATAGGCCATTTCACACAGCCTTGGACTGGCAGTTGGAAGTATATCGTGAAAAGCAGTTCCCAGAGCTCACTGTTAAAACTTCAGTCAGACCATACTTGATAATTACCTCTGAAGTTTCAAAACATTTGATCACAATGGAACTCACGGTGCCTTGGAAAGAGTATTTCAAACAATACCTTGAGAAGAAAACGCACAAGGTACCAAGACCTGCAGGAAAAGTGTAGGAACAGGGACAGGAGGACTTTCTGTGAGCCAAGAGAAGGAGGATGCAGAAGCTTTGCAGGATGCTCATTTTGCAAAGTTGAACATTACAGGAGCTGCTGGAGGGCCATTCAATCTTTGACTGAAGCTGCAAGGAAAGCCCATCCATGGGCTGCCGGTGGGTCACAACTTTCCTACATTTAAGCAACAAAACTTGCAGCTAAAACCTAAGTTAACATTAACAACACGCAAGCAATACTAATTTATTAATGTTTATAATTTCTTAATAAACCTGTAACAACTAATTTCGGCCGCGTAGGTGTAGGATTACAAACTGCAACCTCATTATAGTCACTTGAGGTCAAAATAAATGCATTGGCATTGTTTTGTCCCTTTTGTGTTTCCAAATGGTGTGAACACTGCTTGCAGTCTATAATTCCTGAGAGAAAATGTCTTGCCCTTTAGGTGCTTTATGTTCTGTGTGTTTAGAAAAGCAGAGGCTGTAAACGATGCACTGTATCGCTGGTGGGAGACCATTACAGTAAAGTTGTGGGCCAGACATCTGAACAATGAGCTGAATTGTGAAAGTTCGTTGCAGGAGGGAGCAGCAGACTCAGATAATGATGGTCTGTCGGTTTGTCACTGACAACACTGAGTGGGTCTCTTGCTATATAAAAATATTGATTATAGCTGCTTTAATAAAATTTGGATTCAGCTCTGCAGCTGTTTCCAAGAAAGTCAGGGCTTAAATGCTCCATTGGAGCTTTTTTCAAATGAAGAAAAAAGTAATCATGTGGTTGGACTGACTCCAGCAAAAGAGACTTTTCAAAACTACACTCAGAAATTAAAGTACAGAAATGTACCTATAGGGGTACAATGGCTTGTCACTGGGGTGGTACCCTCTAAGGTACCGTTCTGTACCCTAAACTGTGGGTACTGATTGTACCCTTGTAATTTGTACCTTTTACACGTCAAACCTGTACTTTAAAGGGCAAAATTGTACCCTTAGTATAAAGTACAAAAAAGAACCCTTAAAAGGAGTACAAAAATGTCTTTCTAAAGGTTCAGTATCTACACACAGATTTCCTATATTTTTCCTCTCAAGATTTGAAAAATTGAAGATACAAAGTCAAAAATACTTGTCACATTTATTACCTTCTTAAATACATTGCTTAACTGTTACATACAAACTGTTATCAACAGAGTATGTGTCATAAGCTGCAACATCAATTTCCTGTCCAGGTTTTAGCAACGTCCATTCACTATCAACTCTAACACTGTATGAATGAAAATGGTTGTCATATAACAGAGGAATGAGAATTTTTCCACAAAAGACCCACATTGTGTCAATATTAACACAACACCTGTTCTCTGTGTTTCCTATACACATGTCGTCTGAAAGATTCATATTTTTTGAAGGAAGAACAGCAGTCACTGAGTCCACAGGTTATATCAAAATTGGCATCATGGGAATGAATAAGTCCTGTGTGCTGCATAAGCTTTGTCAAACTAAAGGTTCTTCTGCCACATTTGGAGCACTGATATGGCTGAGGCATGGTGGTCAATACAGAAGATTTATTTGTCTGGTGACTGTGATTGGCAGAGGCCGATCCTCACCCTCATCTATTTTCACAATGTACTTTTGGAGAAAAATCAGGGTGTTCTTCAGATGTTTTGGATAAGCAAGGTTGAAGACAAAATACAAGCAGAAAGAAGAGATGATTCCTTCAAAAATACACGAGCTTCTGCACACTTCACTGCCATCCAACTTCACAATGTTTGGAGCGCTTCTGGAGAACACTGGTTTCCAGTCTTCATGAAGTAGCTGAACAGTTGGATAGGGGGTTTTAGGATGAACCTTTGAAGTCAAAAAAGAAGGTAGAGGAAAGCAATATATTAGTCTCTTAACAAAAGATACATTTGTTTTCCTTTTATATAGACTAAATATTTTAATACACACACCTCTCCAAGTATGACAAAGAGATCCAGTTTCTCCTTGAAGACGTATGGCAGGAATAAAAGTGCAGCCCTTGTGTCAAGATCTGCCAAAAAACAACAAAACACAAGATCACCCATGCATTTTATCTGGCATTTCCAGTTACCTATAAAAATTATATAAAATGGAAGCCTTGAAGTTAAAAAAAAAAAAAAAAAAAAGCAAATACCCGGTAGGTCATCAGTGAGAGCCTCCTCTCTTGCATCAAGGTAGAGCTGGTAGAGTGGGGTTTTCCCTTGTGTAAGGTCAATCACCTTTGCTGCAACACATGAGAGCCCTTCACGAAATCGCTGGCTTACATTACCCGTTGTTGGTTGGATCCACCTGAGTTCGTTGCACAGCTACAAGTAAAAAATTCATTTTCAGTACAAAATAACAGTGTATGAAAATGAAATAATCTAAAGTTGATATTAATTATGTATGGTGCTGCATAATTATTTTTTTTATAGAATTTAACAACAATACTGTAAGAAGTTACATGAACATACGAAAAAAGGAAAGAGGGACAGATGAAGAAAACAAGGTCAAGGGCAAATAAAATTTACTACTATAAACATGTTAAATGTGACAGCTATTTCCAAGTTCAATCCAGCTTTCTGACTTACACCAGTAGGCATCCCTAAGAAGGGGTACTTCTTCAACACATCCTCCACAGGCATACCATTTGCAATTTCTTTCTGCCGCCAAGCAAACGTTTGCTGCACACGGTTATGAACCACCATCGTATCTGGTTGCATCTTCTGACATTGGCACTGTAAGACCTTTAAGTGGGCGTCTATGGATAATAAATCCTCTCCTTGGACGCATGGTCCCTTGAAAGAAAGCAAGAGTGAGAAGAGAAAGTCAAAACAGATTAGAAACCCAACATAAGACTAAATATACAATTAGAGCTGACACGATCTGTGCATCACAAAGAACTCGTATCGGTTAAAGTTAACCGATACCATGAACCAATATTTAAAATATGGAAACTCTGAAATAATTTCACATAAAATCTTAATTGTTAACTTGAAATTTTAGTTTTGGAGTCATATTTAAAATGTTTTTTTGTTTTTTTTAATCTAGTTCACCCTCTTTTAGCGCCTTCTAATTAATAATATTTTGTGAGGTAGAAGTATTAGCATTGGTACTTTGTATTAGCAAGTGCTCTAATCCAAGTATTGGTATTGTTTCGGTTTGAAAAAAAAGGGGTACAGTTGCATCCCTAATCCTTAGTTTTAGATGTAATAACAGAGGCAAGAACATTTTATAGCTCAAGATGTCCCTCACACCAACCTGACAAACATTTCTCTGACTTGTTCATTGACATTTATTAGGCTGCCCTCTCCTCGTAGAACCAAACTTCTCCTTACAACGCCTCACTGCCTCACTGTCGACTAGTGGTGCCCGCTCTGATTTGAATTTACGTCTCAAAGACATATGCCATGTGTGCTTGTTGAACAGAAACATAAGTTACTGTAAAAACAATCTACACAAAATACACCCAACAAAGAATCAGTAAACATACTTCATACAAACCTACTGAGAGGCTACAGATTGTCTTACTAACAAAACAAGATTGAAAAAAGCTTCACTTTTACTTTGTAATCTTGAAGGAACCTTATGCAAATTTTAAATTTAACTTACATAACCATTTCCCTCACGATCCTTGAGGAAAGGATACTTCATTACCAGCGTCTTCACAGCTTGCACATATTCAGAATTTGTGGGATACCTGTAATATCAGAAGAAACATAAGTGTTAGAGCAACTGCTGACAAACAAACTTTATCAAGTGTCAGTTATTGTTTCTTAGTAACGTAGCGTTTATTTTCAATATGACAGATTCAGCTTTTTCTAAAGCAACAAGCTAACATTACCCTGATTAACTTACATAGTATACTGTGCCACAGCTTCATATAGAACTCTGATTATTGTGTGTCTGTCCCTTGGATTTTTATGGCACGGTTCTTTGTTGTCCAGTTTTAGTTGGAGATTTTTGGGAAATCTTGGAATTTCAAAAGACGCTGGTAGTCTCAAAGTATTTTCATTGCTGTGAAAACAGTTAAGCGTTTGTTTTTATTGCATGAATTGAAGTATAAAACACTACAGTAACAATACATATGGTAGAAACAATGATCATATTAACTAAATCCTAAAAGTGCATAACAGCCAACATGTATGTTTCAGACATACTAACTTCATTATAAATAAGAAAATACCTTATTGAAGTTGACGAAGTAGATGGTTGCCAGTCTTCTGGAGAGACAGTCTGTAGAGTCAGCGTCACTGAAGATTCCTTCATCCTTGACACAAACTGGTTGAATTTAACCTGCTTTTTGAAGGATCCTTGGAAAAGGTATGCAACCATAGTCTCAGTAAGACCGCAGTCAACTGTGTCACCATCAACCTCATTGTCTGCAAGATAAATGGTAGTACAAACTCTAAATTCCATGTAAGAATATTTATCACCACATTTTTACATGGGTAAAAACCGTATATCACACACATTAAAACCTTTTGTACAACTTCTTTCAGTTCAAAGAAATATTCATTTAAAAAAATCAGTAAATTAAATAAAATAAAGCAAATCTTTAGAGTGAATCCTCTTGATATGCAAAGTTTTCATTTTTAAATTTAGATGTTTGTTTGGGACTACTGGACACAGGAGAGCAGAGTCTGAGCATGCTTTTGTGCCCTTTCAAGTTTGGAAGAAAAAAAAGACTAGAATGCTGTAATGTGTTAATATTCACTACTAAGGTGACTCCTTTCTCCAGATTTCCGACAGTTTCTGCCGTCTGTTCTTTCAGACCGATTACTTATAGTGATAACACCCGCAGGACCGTATTACAATCTCAGATTACATGCTGAAAAAGTTCCCACATTGCTTAAAACGCGACTATCAAACCCCAGCTGCGACACCCTTGTTATATTTTAAACAAGTGCGGTGTTAAGATATTTCCTTTAGACGTTATATTCAGCCGCCCATGTGTGTTGATGGCCTTGGAATGGATGTAAAAACGTGATTTTATTAAACCATTAATTAGAGCTGGGCGATAGAACGATAACGATATGTATCGCGATATAACTTTTACTCGATAGAGAAATTAAGCTATCGCGATAGACCTCGCCGCTCTTGTCCTCTTAAAAAAAAAAAAAAAAAAAGATCAGCCAATCCAAATTAAGTAACGCAGAGCCGAACCAATCACAGCCGCAGCGTCACGTCGCGTGACTTGTAACGTACAGCACAAGTGCCAAGCCGCACGTGTGTTTGTTTGGGAAGCAGCCAGCGGGTAATGGAGGAAATGAGTGTGCCGACTAGAAAAATCAACCGAGCGTGACCGAAGAGAAAACAGATGATGGTTCCAACGCCGAAGAGATTGTCGAACGGAAGAGCCATAGAAGTTCCGTAGTGTGAAGGTATTTCGGCTATTTCAAGTCTGACAAAAAACAGAGTAGCGTGCACTGTAAATTGTGCCGAAAGCAAGTCTGGAAATACAATGAACTGGTGCATGCGTCACACTGTGCGCCACGTTATTGTTTCGGTGAAATGAATTTCTACAATACTGTTAATTCTACTCTCTGCAGTGTTTAAATGCTTACATATACACACAGTTACTGTCCCTCCACACTTACGACTCGGTTCTGCTTCTATGCCCCAGCTTTGTTTACTTTTTCCCACCGAGGCTTCTAGACTTCTGATTGGCCAATATTTCTGCACGGTTAGGAATCTAGCGCCACCTGCTGCTTTGGCATGTTCATAGCAGCGTTTTCCTTTATTTCTGCCTTTATGTGTGGACGGGATTATTTTTTAAAACGAAAACGGAAAATCTCCGTTTTCAAAAATACCCGTGTACGTGTGGACGTAGCCTCAGTCTCTGACTGGAAGCGCTAATTCGTCATTCGGCTTTTGTCAGACTAAAGTAACTGTTACAACTGTTTGAAAAGCTCAGCTATACAACAAGGAGAGATTGAGAATTTCCTTTTAGTTCTCAGTTTATTTGATATTGACAAAAGTTAGTCAGTTTTGTCTGTTCTTCTGTAAAACAAACTAAGATTTATTTTTAGAATTAATATTTTGTTTCTAAGTGGAATTGACAATTTAGTAGTGTCATGGTCCTGGGCCATGTTGGCCCAGTGTTCTTAGTTTTCTTGTATTTTTGTGTTCAGTTCCCTGTTTAGGTTCTGTTTCCTGAGTTGCCCTATTATGTGGTTCCCTGTGTGCTTTCCCTTTGTGACTCTCACCCCCCGTGTGCCCCTCTATGTATTCATGAGCCCTTGTCCCCTTTCGTGTTTTATTCCATGTTTTCCCCAGCCTGTTATGTCTGTGTTCTCCCCGTGCTCTCTCCTCTTGTCTGAACCTCTGTACTTCCTGTTTTACTTTGACAGTCTCTCGTCAGTATGCGTCATGTTGTGTTCACTCCTGCCCTGTCTCGTTATGATTATCTGTGTCAGCTGTGTTCCCCGTGTGCTCCCACTTCCCTCGTTAACCCTCTGTGTATTTCTGTCTGCGTCTCCCTCTGTTCAGTGTGACGTCGTCCCTCATGTTGTGTGGATCTCCCTGTGTCTCTCTACGTATGTTAGTTTACTTTTCCCAGTTTAGTTTTGTATTTCCCATGTTCTGCCTTTCCAGCATTAAAGCTGTGATTTTGAGTTCATCCCCGTGTCTGCGAGTTTTGCGTTTGGGTCCTCCTCCTGCCTGCCACACAGCCGAGCCTTGACAGTACGACGTCACCAGTAATGGACCCAGCAAACTCCCTACGGAACCGGCAGCGAGCAGACCCCGCCTTCCCTAACGAGAGGAGAAGGCAGGAGGCTCGGCATGCCCGGGAGCGCGAGTCTGCCTTCTATGGGACTCGATTGGCTCTAGGTGGGCCGCGCAGCCTCCAAACTGCAAACGCTGCTGCTTTTTCCCCACACCGTCCCACGGTAAGAAGAGTTGGAGGAGTCAGCCTATCGCCTGCCACAACTCCTCCGGCATTTTCGACTTCTGGTTCGCCTCTCCGGTCGCCGCCCACGTCCCGCGCAAAGAAGAGGGTTACTCGGCGGTCGGGGAGTGGTTTCGAGCCGACGACAAACGGCCTTACCCCGCTGCAGGCTTTTGCGCTCTACCTGGGACTTCCGCGCTCAGAGCTGCACAAGCTCCCTGTCTCTCCGGCGCAGCCTGGTTCGTCATCGGCTCAGCCAGCCGACATCACCGAAGTGCCTGCGCCCACTGCCTCGGGAACTCACGGCACAGTTCCCGGGAAAACACGACGCTCACGCCGTCGCCACTCTAAAGCTACTGAGCAAGCTCCGGTGGTGAGTGAATCTGACTGCTTTTTCCATGCGAGTTCCAAGC